ATCTTGGCATCCAAAAAGAAGCATTAAAAAAACAAGGGGCACCCAATTGCAAACTTTAATGCTTTAACCCTTTAAAAATGTTTTTTTAAATCACTCTCTCTATTGAAAGTGTGTGTGTGTGCTTCTCAATCAATACAACATGCTTTAAATACCAATATTTTGCTAAGAAGCACATTGCTAAATACAGTCAAAAGTCGTTAATCCGGACTCGTTGGGACTTCGGCGATTCCGGATTATCGATTTTTCCGGATTATAGATCATCAGTTTAAATCTGGTAAAATGGCATGCAGAAATTATAAAATTAAAAATATGAAACCTTAATTTACAAAATAAAGAACAATTATGATCTAAAGGTTATCAAAATTTACAAAAAAAAGCTTAATATTTATTTGTTTACTTTATTAAACATTTCTTTCAATGTAAGTTGTTTAAGTTGCTTCGTTTTTTATGTTATAATACATTCTCTTTAATTCTATAAACAGACATAATTTCTTGTTCAGTTACAAAGTTCCGCTGTTCAAGTCCTATAATTGCTGTGTCGAGAATACCGACTAATTTGTCAATCGAAATATTTTCGTTTTCAATAACCTCTGTCACTTTCTTCCCTATCGGAAGTGAATTATAATGACGAGGCATTTGATTTAAATCATATCAAAGACAAGATGAAATACTACATTGAGTAAGCAATTATAAGCCAAATAAAATAAAAACATCTGCTCTTAAGATAAGGATAGTGCTGATAGATCAACTTCCAATTCATTGCACGCCCCTGCAGCGTTAAAGATAAACAAAGTTTAGATAAACAAAGGATATGCTTTTATCCATTTTTTGCAACAACTCCACTTTTTGTTTAATGGACTCTGAAAGATACTTTCGCTTTGTATATCTTTTACATATTAGTAAATATATATTGGAAATTCTATTTGACATAATCGTTCAAGCTTACTTTTACTTTATAAGTTCAAGCTTACTTTTATAAAATTGCTCTAACAGTCTGCAAAAAATAATAATCCGGATCCAATTCGAAGATTAAGGAACAACGCAATCTGCAACATTAACGGAAATAGATAATTAGATAATTTTAGCTTAGCTTATCCCGTCCGTAATACATTAAACGCGCATACGTAAACGTATTTTGCGCACGCGCGAAGTCGCAGCGGTAAAGGTCTTGCGACGCATGCGCAGAAAGTTTGTAGCTTTGAGGTCCGGATTATGGGTGTCCGAATTAACGACTTTTGACTGTACAATGTTCTTCTCAGCAAAAATGGAAAATCTTCCCTAAATATATAGTGATAAACAACAAAATAAGATCTTCCTAATTGATTTTAGGCTTAAGTTACAATAATCAAAAGGATATAAAATAAGATGGTTTGGTTTATTTAATCATGGCAAAGCACACTAGGGCTATCTGCCTAAGGGGAGGAATGCCTTCGTGGAGGACTAATGGTACTATTCAGTTTTGAGGGCCGTAGAAAATCGCCAAACTATTGTTGATGCCAATGCTGCCAAAAATAATTGCGGCAAGAAAGGAAGTATAATAATAAATAACTATTTAAGATTGATGTTTTAATTTAGATGAAAGGTTAATTTCATATAATACTTTTTTATTTTTATAATTTATATGAAAAAGGATAAACATGACTGAATGGAAGCATAAGAGTAAATAACTATTTCAGATCATTATTATAATTTATATAAAAAAATAACTGAATGGATGCCTGCATCGCTATTTCGCTACCGACTTATCGCTAAAGCATAATTTCAACTTATTGGTTGTTCAAACGTAATTTTCTATAATGAATGAAGCCTTTTCTTTGAAAATTTTCTTCGCAAAGTGCAGAATCGCTCACATATTTGTTTGCCGCTTTTTACAAGGGTAAAAACAATTGGATTTTTGTCAATTTTCTTTTACTTTTTAAGTGAAAATAGGTCGAAATATGGAACTATATAAACTTTAGCAATCTGAAATCAGCACGTACGCTAGATTTGGTGCACTGTTAAATAGGCGCGTTTGCTAGATTTGGTGCTTTTGCGCGTACATTTTCGCTGCAATTTCTTTACGGCCCTCGAAACAGAACAGTACCGGACTTTCTAAGGGAAACTGGCTTGTATACACGTTACACATGGGGAAAACCCCGAAAATGCCCATGCAGCCAGCCCGTCCGCGGGATTCGAACCTCGCACCGATCTACCAGTGTTCAGCGACTTTACCACTCGGTCGCTTGTGGGCCATATAAAGTAAGAAATAAGTACAATTTTAACAACAGCAATATTTACATAAAATAAAAATTACGATAAAATGACATTTACATTATTAAATAAAGAAAGAAAACAAAATATCCAATTAATATATACCAAGTCACAAAAAAATCCCATGACTGGATAAAGCCAGTAATGCCACTTTTTGGGTTGTCTAGGATTAAAACCTCAATATTAAGAAATGTATTTCAAATTAAAGAATTATATGCAAAAGTAAGTATAAAGTGTACAGATGTATTGGTACCATTTCTAAATTTACTTAAAGTATCACTAATAATTACAGACTTACTCTTCTGCTCTTAAAATACATGGATTAAATCACACACGAAGCAGGTTCTATTTATGAAATTCATTTTCACTAAAACAATGTTTCACAAACAGCAGTTCATTTCAAATTAAAACTATTTTGGTTATACGTTTCCCAAATATATTGACAACTTTATAATAAAAGTGTTTGGGAAAATAAATAATTCACCACAAGAAGCTATAAACAAAGAAAACAGCTTGGTTTCTTGCAAAATTTTCACAAAACAACGTTACTGCAAAATAACATTTAAAGAATTACACATTGCAATAAAACTATGCACTGAGTTTTGTAAAGAGAAATTATTGGCACAATACTTTTATCTATAACTACAAATTTAAAACACTAAAATACAAATTTAAAGTAAAGGAAACACTTCTAAATTTTTTAGGGTTTTACCATTTCTAAATATGGTTAGCATATCAAACCATAAAAATACCTGAAGTCACTCAGATGGTATAGAAGTTAGGGAAACCTACTACAGTACCAGATAGCTTGGGTTCGAATCCCAGAGAATACACAGATGTTTGTAAATGCATAGTGTCGGTGCAGCATGGCGACACTCTAAATATGTGGCAAGCTGAAAGTCCTCTTGCGTGGTTTGGTGGAAGAGAATAGGAGTACAAGATTCCTGGATGCTCTTCCTCAAAATTGGGGGTGGAAAATAGAAATCCAATAGACAACAACAACAATAAGATAACTGAAAATCTCCCAAAGCCATCAAAAGACAGAATTCAAATTTATTTATGTATTATGAATTCTTTTAATTTCCATTATATGTTTAAATTAAGAAATGTTAAGTAAGAAGTAATTTTGATAAAATTCAAATTAGGAAATACCATTTGGTGCTGAAGCTCTAAAATCCCAATATTTGTGATCAAGTCTTATGACAAACACAAATGAAATTTTAAGGAATGATAGTAAAAATGTTAAAGTAATAAAACAGTGATCCTTTAATTTATGACATAAGACAAAATTCTGTGATCTAAGAGTTACTTTCTATAAAATATTCAGAAAAATTTAAATCTACTACAATCAAATATTTCCTAGGAATATTCCTAATGATTATCGGCATATTCATTAATACATATATATAAGTAAATATGTACACATCACATACACACACAGAAACAATTAAAAATAAGAAGGGGGAAGAGAAAGATAGAATGAAAAGAATGCTTTAAAACACATCATTTTGCATCAACATCCCATAAGCATAAGAGTACGACATATAACATATTCATTTAAACTATTTTATAGTTTGAAAGGGAGGTTGTGTCATACATTTAAACTGTTTTACTGTTAGGAAGGAACACTGCAGTACACATCTTGAGATTTCATTCTTCAGGAGTTACTATAATTCTACACATTACCTCATATACAGTAATTAGTCAGATAAAAGTGCTAGACTTTGAAATAATTTTATATATATATATATATGTATTTTTTTTTTTTTTTTGAATAAAATAATTAACAGTTTACAATCGCTGATTACACATACAACTTCAATAATCAAAATGCTCAGTTTGCTATAAACTATTCTTCACATTTATCATTACATATAATTTTTTTCTGGTATTTGCAGTATTAATCTTGTTAATTAGGATATTTGTCATTAATATCTACGATAACTATCATATATGTTGCAATAAAAACAGAAACATATACTATAAACCATTTCCCAAAAGGCAAATTTGTTTCGAATTAGAATGAAAATTTGCAAAGCATTGCGAACCATCAAAAGAACCTGAAAACAAATTACATTTACTTAGCCATAATTATTAAAATATTTAATCAATTCCTTATATGCCGTTTCTTATATATTAACTGAAAAGTGTTCTTTCTTGCACGCCAAAGGTATACAATGTAGAAAATAAATCCAATTAATTTCTTTTTCAAAAAGGTATTCCATCTCGTGTTTTGGAGAATTCGCAAAATCTAATGACAAAAGACGTAACACGAAATTCGAAGTAAAATCTTACACTGACGCTACGAAATTGGTATTTTGAATTAAAATAGAAAACAATAAAAATAGCATAAATTATTCAAATCATATCAACTGGATAAATTTCATCGATTACTTGGCGAATAAATTAACAAAGATTCGATTATTAACTGCAGTACATATATTTATTATCACTAAGAAAAAAATGTTAGCAAAGAAATACTGACGCATATTTGTACATAATCGCTATTTATTTAAAATTTAATTTTTTGCAAACGGTTACAGCTAAACAAAAATACGAATGACCTTTTAAAAGTTTAGAAAGTTTTTCATTTTTTATTTTTATATATATAATGTTAGTCTAACAAATATTTCTTTCGTATGTACTTCTTAAAAAATATCAACGCTTGCATTTATTAATTAAATCTGCATATTTGACCTACAAAAATATATTCGCTCACAGTTTAAATTTGACATCACATGAAAAGCAGACACCAATGCGATAACATGTGTCGAGATGTTATTTTTAATATTAATGACATCTTTAAAAATTGTGTGATTTGCATGCAATGTAAAAAGCTATCAGCCACAGGTAAGTAGTAGGAGGGGGTAAAATGCTGTATTAATTTCGTGTGAGACGTTATTGTAGGTAGTCTTTTATATTTTATTATTTTTGAACTCGTGCGTGACCTGTTTATACGTAAATAGTGAAATAATTATACGATGGTTACGTGTTATTTTAAAATTTCTCATGGTTTTTACTGTTATTGTTAAACGCATTTATAAATGTATTGTACCATGCGTATTGCTTTCTAATATATTTCTCATCATGTAATTTGTAATTTAAAATCAGAAATACAAAATGAGCTTTTGAAATCGGAATTTATAAGCGGTAGTATGAAAATTTTGTGGAACACAAAATTCATCAATCATATGTATATGTTGACCCCTTTATAAATGTAATTTCTCCAGAAATATATTTATTTATTTACTTTGTTTAATTGTAATGTATTTTGGGATTCAGTATGTTGGAATAAATGGTTTGCTACAGGTGAAGTATGAATTTAAATGCATTAGTTATATCATTTCATTCAAAATTTTCAGAAAGCTTCATAGTGTCCATTAAATATTCAAAGAGAAACATTTAATAAAAATCATATATATAATTTTTAATTCAAATATTTTATAAAAATTGTATCATTTTTATGTATCTGACTATATATATATATATTAAATATTAATTTTATCCTCTAGGAAAATAAGGTCAAAAGCTGTTTCAAAATGAACCACATTAAAAGTTAATTCTTTAGAAAATTTATATTAAACTATGAAAAAAAAATACTTAGTAGAAGTTATAAATGGTAATTGAATTCACCATAAGTCAAAAGTACTGAAAGTAAAAAAAAAAAAAAAAAATATGGTACTCTTCTGTTATCGGGACTAGATTCAGAAATGTATGTATGTATCTATGGATAAATAGATGTGTTCAGGTATGCATGTATATATTTATGTACAAATGCATGCATGAATGCATATACGCACACATATACTCACGTATGTACATACACACATGCACATACAGACATGCGTTTCTGAATCCGGTCCCATTAACAGAAGAGTATCAAATATAAAAAGAAAATTAATTATTGTTGTTCCTGTGGAAGAAGATGCACGTTTCAAGGGGAATTAATCTTTTCCATTGAACCATCAGTAATGAAGGAACGATAGTGTTTCATCTCCTTCGTGTATTTGAAAAAAATTCTTTTCAGAATGTGAAAAAAATTGCCCCCTTCCATAGTTTAATCTTAATTTTCTATAGAATTTACATTTAATAAGATTAATTTTGCAATAGTTCTTGCTATTCATTTACTAGGGGATAGTCAAAATAAAAAATTAATATTTAAGTTTAAATTTGTAATCTTAGCAGCATTGATGTTAAATTTTTCTTTAAAGTTCATTTATGCTTTTTTTTGCTTATACATATATATATATATATATATGTGTGTGTGTGTTGTAAAATATAAAAGTATAGCTTTCAAACAATAAATAAATAATAGCCTTTTAACTCCTGTCTTCATTCTGAAAGTAACAGAGCAATAAATATTCTAAATGGAAAGGATCCGTCATCTTATCTGTATTGTGCACATATCGAGGAAGTCTGAACCCAACACCTTTACATTAAACTGCCATGTGATCTGAAATGGAATGCAGTATAATAGCTTAATTGCATCGCAACTCTCCCTCTCCTGTCTTCCTTTCTGCTTGGAGATGCTTGTGTCGCCTTGCTGCAGAGTTTACTTTTCTAATTTTCATCCTTTAAGAAGATGTTATCTTTTAAAAATTGGGAGGGGTGCATGGCACACCCACAGTGATAATGTGCATTATCCAGAAAAATAATTTGTGGAATTTAGGCCATATGTGCAAGTTTTTTTGATTTATGTATCCATCATTCTAGCAATGCAATCAAGTTGTCTTCAAGTAATAATGCAGAGAACCACTGCCATTCCGTTGCAGCTTACTTCTACAAAGTCATTTTATTACAAAAATAATGGAGTCTTATCACAGTAATGGGGGCAGTTTTATTACATATATACACAAGTACACACATATATTACAAGTAAAACAGTTTGAACTTCAGTAACATGTTTAAGGTGTACATTTTAGTTTAGTGTATCATACCTAAATATTTTTTTAAATAACAGGTTTTTGTTATTGTAAAGGGGAGTAGAGTATATTACAAATAACTTAAAGTTCTTAACTGATCAGAATATAGTACATTATCTTAAAAATATGCATTCTCATTTGTATAGTAATTGTGGGAAATGCACAATATATAGTGTTGATGTATGTATATTTTATTGCAATACTTTTAGCAAGTTTACTGTAAAAAAAAAAAAAAAAAAAAAAAATTATGATAAATATGGTGTGTAATTTCTTAAATATATGTTTCTATTAATGTGACTTTTATTTAGTGAATTATGGAATGCATTTCATTATAATTTTTCTGTATTGTTTTATGTCTTTATAAATAATGTAATTGTTTTTGCAGTTAATTTAACCTATTTTAGAGAAGAAAATTCTGTCTCAAGTTGGATGTTTAATTTAAGATGCAAGTTGGAGCAAAGGGAAAAACAAATCTTTTTGGTTTTATTTATTGTGGGCAGTTTGGTATATTTTCTTTTTAATGTGTGATACTAAATATTTAATTATGTTATGTTTAACCATATTTATAACTTGTGTAAAAGTAATAAAACTTTTACTATAATGATTTTGAATTGAATCATAATTACATTGTTATAACATTTATTTTCATATTATAACAATTTTTACAGTAACCTATGCAAATTACATCACAATAACTGCATTTTTATGACATGCATTTTCATTATATTGCAGGAGGATAGCATTTCCAACATTTATGAATGATTTTTGTGCAGTTTTAGTTTAGAGAAAAATACTTGCATGAAAATGTTATTTTGATTTTAAAAATTTAATACACATCATGAAAATGTTGAGATAAAAGTGCAATAGTTTCTGTTAAATATGATTATTTTTTAATTAATAACATGAGCAAATGCATATATTTGTTTATTTAACTTTTGATTTTTAGTGAATATTATATTTAAATGCATTTTATGTATTTAAAACATTGATGATTTAACATATAAATATGCTTTGCATATTTATGATCTTTTTCTGGTAGATGGTCTTGATTTATATATTTGCTTTTTTGTTTATTATTTTATATGATTTGTTTTTAAAAACCATTTAAATGAAAAATTTTATTGAACTGAATAATAATAACTGTGTTCTGTTTAACTTATCTACATTATGCTCATTCTCTCAGATTGGTTATATTTTGTTTGATATAATATAGGTTAAGTTGAAGTTTCAACTGAGGATACCTTATGATATTATTTCTTATTATTGTACTGAATTATGTTCATTTAGTTGTTGCTGTAAAAAAATTTAATTTAAAAATTAGTTTAATATTATTTTTTGTTGTTAAACTCTTTTAATTTAGGTAAATTGGATTAAAAACTATGTGTATTAGTTATCATTAGTTGTGTTAGTTTGTTTTCATGATTCACTGTAGGATCTGAAAAAAGGAGGTTATGATCATGGAACAAATTGACATTTATATTTTCTACATTTTAAAATAAAATTTTGATTATTAATTTTATGGAAAACTAACTTTTGGCAGTATATGATGATCTATAATTATTTATTCATTGTGTTTCGTAAAATAAAAGTTCTTTCACTAAAATAAAAATGTAATCATTTGCTAAATGTCAGCATTATTTATATAATGCAATGTCTTTATAACATGAGACAAGAGCATATACATAACTTAATGCTTGCATGTTATTAGCACAAAAATAATTTTGCAATGCTCATCAGTAAATTACTAAATGTATTTTATTTTTATTAAGCTAAGAAAAGTTTTATATAAAATTGTGCTTGTTTATATAATGTATAAATTATTTAATTTCTTGGCACCTTTAAGTTAACAAAGATATTTATTACATGAATGCTTGTTAACAATTTATATTAAATGTATTCTAATAAACTGTTTCATTTGTGCTTCAACAGCTTACTAATTTAGCAACTTTTAATTTATTGCCTATTTTGTTTGTGCAAATCTATGACAGTTTATCACTTGCTCTCAGTAACACGCGATATTCATAACTTCTACAAATTTTAATATAAGCAATCAGTAGTGTGATATTTGAAGTAATCAGTAATGATGATCAGTAAAAAAATCTGTAAGTAAAGCTGTGGGTTTAAAAGAAAGCATGAATAATTGTATACCCTTAATTATAATGGCACTCGTTTGCATTCAATGTAAGGAAAACTGAAGTCTTAACATTGTAAAAATTTGATAAGATACCATTGAGACATTTTTGGAAGTATAATGTTATTAGAATTCCAGTAATAAGCTGCATCAACTTTTAAAACAATTTTATGCTGTTTAGCATAAAAACAAGCAGAATAGCTCCTACAGTGAATCCTTTCATTTGTATTACAATAGTACGTAGTAATTAGTTAGTATATATACATCCTGTATGCAATTTATCTTATATCTGTGTGTGTATTGTGATAATAGTGCAATTATATGCTAAAACATTATTTTGAATATTCATTAAAATTTTTACAATGTAAAAATTTTATTTTACAGGGGTTATTGCATTATTCTCATGTGCACAGTGTCGTAAAACCTTTACTTCTACATCAATGCTCAAGAAACATGAAAAAACGCATCAGAAAGAAGGAATGAAATTACGTCACAAATGTACTTTGTGTCCATATTCTACAAATACTATTACACATTTAAAAAGGCATTTCCTCATTCACAGTGGTGAGCGGCCATTTTCATGTGTTATATGTGGCAAAGCATTCACTACCAAGTGGAACATGGAACAACATATACGTACCCATACGGGCGAAAAGCCCTATGCTTGTGGTATTTGTTGGGTAAGATTTGCCGACCGATCTGATTGTTCACGCCATCAGTCCGTTCATTATGATCTTCGACCTTATGCATGTGGATACTGTGGCCTTACTTTCAAACATACTAAAAGTTTACGTCGTCATGAGAATCATCATCTCAAGGAACAATCTAATACCAGTATCACTTTTGCTAATCTGCCGTCAGTTGATACAGAATCAGATCAGAAAGTCAGATCTGTTACAACACCGCCCTTGGTTACATTTGAATCCACAGTTCTTTGACTCGGGAAGCCAACATTTTATCCATTAGGTAACAGGAGCAAACTTAAATTGATGTAGATTTTAAGTAAAATTCAAGATCTGGCATTTCAAAATCTATCACTGTTTTTTCATAACAATCTATTATTTTAGATTATTGTGTAAAAATTATTAACCATATATCATTTATGGTTGATACTTAAGGTTTATAACTCCTAATACACTTGAAAATTTTTCTTTAAATAATTTATTAAGATAGTTCATTTTTGATTATTAGCTGAAATTTTTATTAAGATAAGTCCATTTGACTTATCCTCAAAAAGAATTTTTAAAAGTGTATAAATTTAAAAACTATAGTACAAACTGAGCCAGATTTAGACTTGATAAGGCCCTAAGCTGTTTGAGATATGAGGCCCTTTATAAGTCTGTTATAATATATTTTAATAGTATTTATACTATATTTTAATTTGTTAGGGTTCCCCCAAGAAAATGGAGGCCCTAACCTATAGCTTGTGTAGCTTATACATAAATCCGGCCCTGAATGCATTATATAATTAATCAAATATTATTCTGTTTTTTTATACATAATTATGTTTCTGTATGTGCAAGCATATTTTCATTGTTTTACTGAACTTTGGACATTTGTAATAAAGTATCTAAAACCGACACGACAAGCACCAAAAAGTTGAAGTTGTGTCAACTCGCGTGGTCTCTGGTCATCCGGAAAATGGCCTCTGAGCTCACTTCTAATTGGTCACCGCTTTCCACCTGAAAGCATTATAACGTTGGTGTAAATTGGCCTTAATTTGGTTAAATCCCAGATTGTTTTTGCCAATAAATTTTGATTATGGTAATCATAATTAAATGTAAGAAAGGGAAATGTAATAACACTTTTTAATAGTAATTATAAATAGATTTATTTAAGTTTATTGTTAAAATATTTGTAAGATAAACAGGAAGATATAAAAAATGAAAGCATTTTTCACAATTACATTCAGCAACTGAGCAGGATCGTGTTTCTTAAATATTTAAAATTCCTATTAAAAATATAAAGTCCTTTTAATTAAAAAAAATTATATCAATCTCAATAAAGAAAGTAAGGTAAGATTTTCCCAAAACAGGAAATGCTTACTGATGCCTAGTGTATTTGGCAATAACAAATTAAGTACTGGTTTTAACTGAAATGTATCAAAGTACAAAAGCTTTTTATATAATTAAAATTTAAAGAAATAAATCTATTAATGCAGTTTACTTGATACCTCTGAAGATTTCTATTGTGATGTGTAAATTTGGTTACAATTGATTTCTTTTTTAAAAATTAAATGTTTTCAATAATTAAGAATTTAAAAATCTAAGCTACAATTTATGTTTATAACATGGTTTTGAAATATGATTTGATATAAATATTTTTTGCTCTCTAAAGATAAATATATTCTAATTTAATATGAAGAATAAATGATTCTTGCATACTTTCCTGTCAACCATGAAAGCTAGCAGTGCTCATGCCAAACTTTCACCTATCATTCCAATGAAAGTTTGAATGAACAGACTGCTCTTTATTTATAGTTAGGTAATCAATAGATGTTAGCTACTAATTAAGCATGTAAAATTTAATTAAATATGAACTCAAATTTAACACCAGTCATTTTGGTGGAAGTTTGAAAAATTAATTATTTTTATTTTTCTGATGCCAGTATATTGTAACTTTGAAAGTACTACAGTGCATAAACGGGTTCAGGATTTTAATTTTTTTCAAAATGCAAGGAATAAACAGAATTAGCAGTTAATTTATATCCATTTTTTATATAAAATTAAACTAATTTATTGAAAATTAATTGAGCCAGGTGAAGTATCTTATGAGGATACTTTTCTGTTATCAAGACTAGCTTCAGAAATATATGCCTGCATAAATAGGTTTGTGAATCTGGTCCCAGTAAAGAAAGTAAAGTTATGAGTGTGTTGTGATGTCATACTTATCTAGTACTGGCAACAGTTTTTTTATTTGGATGGAGGCTTCAAAAATGGGTTGATAGGAAGGTATGCAAGACAGAATAAGCATTAATTAAATTGTAATTCGATTAACAGAATTGAATGCATTCAGAGCCAGATTTAGGCTTGATAAGGCCCTAAGCTGTTTGAGATATGAGGCCCTTTATAAGTCTGTTATAATATATTTTAATACTATTTCTACTATATTTTAATTTTTTAGGGTTCTCCCAAAAAAGTGGAGGCCCTAACCTATAGCTTGTGTAGCTTATACATAAATCCGGCCTGAATGCATTATATAATTAATCAAATATTAATCTGTTTTTTTTATACATAATTATGTTTCTGTATGTGTAAGCATATTTTCATTGTTTTGCTGAACTTTGGATGTGTGCATATTTTATTTGCAATATCAGTAATCAGTGTATGCTAATGAGAAAGATTGTCATAAAAATATTGAATATACTGCAGGAAGAGATTGTTTTGATGATGAGAAAATTGCATATATAAAGTTATGTTTCTATAAATATCTTTAAGGATCTCAAATTTGATATAATCAGCTTCTCTCTTAAGTTTTATGTTATTCTGTTAATATATTGATATTAGCTTAGCAACTGTTAATAATCATATAGATAATTAATCATATTTTTATTTGGTTAGAAGTAATAACACTTTTGTTCTTACACTCTGAATAAATATATTTTATTCACAAATTTTAGTAATAATAGTGTTTTATAGCTTTAAAAGTGTTGTAAATTATAAAAAGCTTTATTTTTCATATTAAAAATTTGAAACCAAGATAGTTAAGATGTTACACTTGAAAGTAATTTAATACATATTAATATATTATATAAAATATGAAGTTAAGATATTCAATGAACTGTTAAATATCATTATTTAATACTCATCTATTTTGTGTGAAAAACTTGCTCATTGCATATACTTTATATCTTGACCCTGAATTTAATATAAAAGTGTGATACTTTTGAGTTAAGCAACTTTGTTGTTCATCTAGTGTTAATTCATTTGGAAAAGTATTACATAGATTTAAGTAACATATTCATATGCATGCATATTTCATTTATTTTTACTTATAAACCTTTAAAAAGAATATCATATTGTTTTCAGCAAAATTGAATGTTTTTGCTGAATGTAGTTTGCTCTAACTGCATTCCGAGACTAATGTATACGTGGTGCTAAAGGTTTTGCTTAAATTAAGGAATTACTTTTTGTATCTATATGAATATTTTATTATACTTTACAGTATTCCTTAGAACTGATTATTCTCCATTTTGTGTAAAGTATTCAAATTTCCAGTAAGATTCTTTTACAGTTTTCTTTTTAAAAATGCAAAAAATTTTTAAAACATGAAAAAGTTTCAGTACTTTTAATTATCCACCGCACCCTTCCCAAAAAGTTGCCAAGTGTTGGTGAATGATTTTTTTAAAGATAAGGTACAAGAGACAACAGTCATTTTCAAAATGGTGCTGCACCAAGAATTACATAAAAAAATAGCAACCAATTAAGAAAATTAAAAATGCAGGCAACATCTGTAGTAAAACACTTATTATTTTTTCTAATTTAGTTTTTATGCTGTTTTCCCCATGTACCCAGCTATTTATTTGTGCTTAAAAAAATTTGGAGAATTGTGCAAATTCGTTATCTGCACCCAAGTATTCTGTAAAATTTGATCAATTGCGATGTGAAACTTCATGGAATATAAATTTTTGCATTCTGTGCCGTTAGTCGAAACATATTCCTGAAGAAATGCAATGTTTTCTTTTTTCATCAGCTGGCAAACTTCACAGGAACATTATAATTCTGTACAAGGGAAGGGGGAATGCAACAAAAATAAACACTGACCAGCACTAATCTGTTGCACATGCAAACATTGTTGAGTTCATATAAATATTGGTGACATACTGGGTTGCTTAGTTTGGTGACATAGCTAGCACTCTCCTTCTGAATATTTGTCATTGATTGCAAATAATCAAAGTACAGAGGTTTAATGATGTGTAAACAAAATTGTAAAGTGAATGTCTTGAATCAGATGTCTAGTTATCTTTAAATACATGTCACCTAAGAAAAAATTTGGAACAAAACATAAATTAGCATTTAGAATGTTAATAAATAATTTAAGAGATTAAATATCAAAGTAATTCATATTACAACCAAAATAATAGGAAATTGTTTGGAAGCAGATATTAGATTACTATACTTATATGATACTTAAAAGTATCCCCGTCTTTTATGTTTATCTGATTTATGTGCAAGAGGTCTAATATTTTGGGAAGGTAACTTATCTTAGCATCAAGCATATGCAATTGTGTTATACATGCGCAAGTTAAAATTTTTATGCTGGTATCTCTTCTGCACATCAAAACATATATCCCAATCTACAAATTTATTATGAAACTATGCCTTTCTGTTTTTTCTACATGACAAAGAAAATATCTGCTAAGAGGTACCTCTTGTTATGTTTCCATTTTAAAATTTTATTGAGAGTATTAGTCCATAAAGGGAAGCTTGATTGAGTTGAAATGTCTTTTTTAAAAGCTTCTAACTCCAATACTAGAGTTAAGATAGTATGCATAATTATTCATTAGATATTGCTGGGAATGATTTTTATTATGTTGAGAAGGAAAGTTCATTGAATGACAGAGAGCTTGTGTTTCTTCATATTTTGGTAGCAGCCCATAATTTACTAGGTTTCTCTCTCATAGTGTTAAACAGCAGTTTTGGGTATGTGGATTTAAATCCCAGTTATATCATCTCATTCTTCTTACAGTGGCAATTTTTAAAGTTTTGGCTTTGGTTTCTTAAATATGTTCTATATTTTATATGTATGTATTGTCTATAGTAATTCCAAGCAATTTCCTCTGTATTGGGCAATTGGTTAAATATTGCAAGAATGTGAAGTTTGTGTTCGTTTAGAGTTGTTCCCTTGCTCTGCTATAGATTGTGAATTGAGGCAGCATCTGTGAAAGCTTTTGTGTGATTTGGTCATTGGATTGATATGGTGAAGTTAAAAGTAAAAATCCATAGACTGCAAACAAGGTCTTTGTAAATGTGTTTTTTTTATGGTGTTTTTTATTTTTATGTTGTTATGGATAACTTGATGTTTTGCACGATTATAGATTTTTTTTTTTTTTTTTTTTTTAAGACAAGAATATTGATTTGTCTGAGAGCTTGAAGCATGGCCACCAGAGTCATATGCTCTTTTTAAATTTGAGACAAAGCAGACCATTATAAAGATGTTTGTGATTTATTGTTTTATAATGTGCTCAAGCTATTAATCCAGAGTGTGAATTCTTGAATAATTTAGTGTGAATCCCCACTGATTCATGGTCACAATTTGATATTTGTTCTTAGTATCATTGTGTAATTATTGTAAATATAGAAATTGACATTTGTAATGCAAGTTGCTCATAAAAAGATTAAAATATGGCTTTTAGACATAAATAGAATCTTACTGACAAGAATAAATTGCATTAACTCTTTTGATTCAGTAGAGGCCAAAATCTATCTCTCTGAAACGGCTGTATATATGGATTTCATTTCCCCTCCCATGCCAAGTAGAATGCTAAAATGCTAACAATAACCTACTTAAGTGAAAACTTCTCTCACGAGATCTTCTTGCGCTTTCACCACTGCGTGTCGTTTTCCATTAGGACAGAATTGCAACTTCAGGCATCAATAGCTAAACATTGATGCTAAACAAAGTAGAAGGAAGATGGATTCAAATGACAGAATTACTTTGTCACTTCAAAAGAATGATTGTCGTGTCATTTAACAACACCCAAAAGCAATGAGCCATGCGCTAACATAATGGGGGAAAGCAATAAGTAGAAAATAATTCGGGGGACATGCCAATGTCTGTATGGTCAGGCATTTTCGATGTGAAAGAGTTAAACTACGTTTGAAGTCTGTATTACTTAACTAAGAAATGCTTAATACTAATTTACTAAAATGAAGTAAAAGTTCAAATAGGAGTGCTTTGTGTTAAATATTACAACTCAGTTATAGGTCCAGTAAAAATATTAGTGCATAGTTAACTAATCAGATGATGATAAATGTTTTTACCAAAAAAAAAAAATAATAATAAATTACTACTACACAAAAAGGAGTTCTTTATATATATATACATTTACAAATGGGATAATGGCAGGAGTCGCTTGTTTACAAAAATTGAATTTTAACATATCTGAAATTATATTGAGAGATTGCCACTGTACAGTTTCTTTTATTCACAAATGTTTAGTTCCAAGAGCATAATTTGACAAAGTATGTATGAATATTGCAGAAATTGTTATATAACTTATTTGCCTCCTAATTTCAGTAATAAAAGTTTTTGATTCTGCGTAAGTTGCAATTTTAAAAGAAAAATTTTAAAAAAGTTTTGTAATTTATGGTGCTTCTTTTTTCCAGAATAAATAACGAGTAATTAAGTAATCATACTTATCCTCTAATTAAACTTGAATTTTAAGAAGAGTTTTCTTCAATTCATTACATTTATATTAGTTGTAGTTTGATAAGAGAGGTTATTTTCCTCAAGTGATTCTAATGATATTCTCTGTTGTCTACTTAATGTGCACACTTATTTATATTTTGTAATAGTATTAAGCATTTATTAGTTATGGGAGTACTGATGGCTAATTTATTAGCTATGGTAGTACTTGTGATTACTGAAGTAGCACATACTTCAGGGAAAGTTCAGTGTGATTTATTCTTTTAATAACGTTCATTTATTTTGTGTACAGTTTCAGAAATATATGTCAATTTCTACATTTACATTAATTACATATGGTGGAACTTTCCAGAACTTTATCAGTTGATGTCTGTATGAGAAAAGATCTGCAGGATCTTTTTGGAAAATAAGATCATTTGTCTTGTCCTTATTCAAGGAAGACTCCTTGTTAAAGATATATATTGAATAAATCTGTAAGTAAATGGGGTAAGCCTCTTCAATGAATTTTGAATTTAATATATATATTGTCTAGTCCTCATGTTTTTGCATTTGAAAATATATTGATTATATTAAACATTCCTTTGATAGAGAAGTTCTATTCTTCCTCTGTATTTGGAATGCTTTGCTAACACCATATTATTCTGACATATTGCTTTCAGATAGACCTTTAATGAAAAAGATGTCCATTATTTCATTCAATAAAAATGTTACTTCACCTAACATGTTTCTGAAATTCAGACTACTGGCTTGTAGATTAATTTGAGTTGATTTGAAAGATTTTCATATTGAGAATTTTTAGAGAATTCCATGCAGATTAGTGTCACTGCAAAGAATTATTTCCAGCTGTTAAGTTTGGTGTCTGTTATTTCCTTTTT